CCCCCCCCCCCCCCCACCCCATGGCATGAATGGGATTTCAGAAAAAAATGTTATTATTAAGTTATTATTAAAACTGACCTCCATTCATAGCAGCAATATCAGGATCATGAAGCCCAGTTGCTGCCCATAAAATTCCTGTTATCTGTTACACATTCAAACAAAAGGAATAACACACAATTCTAAGTGAAAATACATGTAATATTAGATAGATACAAATATTTCTAACAGTTATTCTTCATATAAACAGCACACCAGTAAATATCAAAATAATGCTCCACAAATATAGTCTTGGATATAAAAGATGTTTTAGTGCAAGTAGAGAGAGAGATATTTCTCTAGAAATAGTCTACCTCACCAATGCATTATTTAAACATTTCAACCCTTTTGAGGGTTGAAATGGTGTGTTAAAACACCCTACCCTCAGTATGCATAATCCCTATTCTATTCTCTTTACATTTCCTGTGGCTGACAGCGAGAGTTAATTTAACCATCAAAAAATGAGTCACTGATCATCTCCTTACTTCTTGTGATCTTAATGTTTGATTCTAGGATGACACAATGACTGCAAGGAAAAATGAGATCCTGGTCACTCTAAGGGCTTTAAGGGTTAAATAGAACACCATCAGTCTCCCTTCACTAACTAAATTAGTTTGAAAGAATAGGAAAATGCCAATCTTACCTGAGTAGAATCATGGTAACCATTGGGGAATAATGACCTGAGTGATCTGTCTATTAAAGAAGAAAGTGGAAAATGAGTTTCTGATTTATCATAAAGTAAAATGCAGTAAATGGTTTGAACCTGGGGGTAACATGTAATGTTATGTGTAATGATGGTCTGGGTGAGTGTAGTCCTGAGAAGGACTGTTGTCGCTAGTAGTGACTGATGTTTTGACAACCTGAGCAGAAGTTATCATCAGAGTCAAGTGAATATTTGTTGTCAGTCGAATGTTCTTAGTCCGGTTTGTATAAACTGATTGTTTGGTTTTGCTGTGATGTTATTGGCTGTAAGACTCAAGTGGTGTATGTCAGTTGTGATTGGTCGGTCTCCATTCATTAGTAAGTAAGGTTGTTCTGTTTGGTTCATTTGTAATGTTAATGTCGTGAGTCATTTGTATGGCGACAGTAGTGGTTGACACTTGTTGAGGGGAGTCTGTTTCAAGTTAGTAAACCAGCTTTCCAGGGTCAGTCATTGATTCAACTGACAACAACTTTTGACTGATGACATCATTTAACTGACACCAACGATTCACTTGACTCTGATGACAACTTCTGCTCAGGTTGTTGAAACATCAGTTACCACTACTGACAACAATCCTTCTCAGGACTACACTCACACAGACGATCAAACTACACTATTGCATAAAGTAAAATGGTAGACGATTCCAAAAAGTTTCATTCACTTATGTGTCTCTCCTATTTTTAGCCACAAAATCCCTTCTAGGTAAGCTTTCTGGGGTCCATACTTATGACCTGATGTTATAGTATGCACCATGAATACAAAAGAATAATGATCAAATAGATATGAAAGATATTGGATTTTTTCAGGAGCAAATGTATCAACATGGTGGCCCCTAGTTCTCTGAGTCCAGATTCAACTATAATTTGGTATAGTGTTGGTACTTCTAGAATGAAGAAAACCAAAGAACCTGTTAGAAAATTCTTAGAGAGAGAGAATACAGAACCAAGGTCACAATGTTAAGAGGTGAGTAATATCATTTATGAACCATCATGTTCCATAGAACACATTCTTAATTCAGTTTACACAAAAAATTCTCATACCAATCCGTCTACTGACAATTGTTTCTCTTTCGGATAAAATAACATCTTTCCTGAAGAATGTTTTAGGAATCTGGCCTCCTGCAGCTGCTTTTTCTTTATAATCAACCTGCAATGACACAACAGATACAGGTAAATAACAAATCATATTTAAGATTTAGATTCACTGACTCATAAAAAAGGAACAAAGTACACCTTACTTTTAGATGCAAGCTTTTGTCACCAGTTGGTTTTGATTTCTTATCCCCAACAACAGCAACTAGAGTAGAATTCCCTCCGTGCTATAGGAGATAGAAATATTGTGGAAATCTAAATTTAGGGATGTGATATTTTCTGTGTACATGTAATGAAAGATTCAAATTTAAATTTTAATGGTTATTGAAGTAAAAAAAAGCAATAGAAGTATTTGATAATTGAAAATTGGCTTCAGAGACACAAAATTTACTCATTTCTTTATAACAAAAACTTAAAATTCTTTAGGCAGAGGTGAACTATTTGATTGGCCCTTCAGGGCTCCCTTTTTCTAAAGGAACCCACTTTTCTGATAAAGCCATAACACTCCAGATCTCCAGATGACCACACAAGGAAGTTACAACATTAATTTACAAAAAGGGGCTAACTTGATCAGTGTGCGGCATCAGTCAACATACATGCAAAATTTAGTGTAATTTTTTTTTGAAATGTGAAATAGTTTGATTCTTGTAGTCTGGGTGACACTTAAGTAAAAAATCATCTTTAATCAGTCAAGACAAAGAAAATAATGACCACTTTTATGATTTTATTTCTCAATTAGAATGTTTTGCCATAAAATAAATCATCCACGGACCTAAGTTATTCTGTAAAGATGGCTAGTAATCGGCCTCGTCTAGCTATCTTGACAACACAAAATAGGCATTATTGCTTGTATGTATCTTGAATACCATGCCCTCAATGTTTAGTTCAAGCTTGCGTGGTTGACATCGAGTTCCAAGACTGTTCAAACTGTTATATTTATTGTCTTTGGTACAGATGCTTAAACAAGTTGGATCTTTATGGACTTCTGATGAAAAACAATATTATCCACAGGTGCAAAACTGGTATCAACTTGATTTACGTTACTTCGTAATAATATTAGGTTTGCAACATACCTTATGGAAAGTATCAATTCTTAATATAAAACTTATTTTAAGGATTAATAATAATTGTAATATATTGAAGACAACAGCTTACCTCAGCAACCACGGCTCCGTCTGCCAACCTAGCCATTTTACCCGTTGCGAATGACATTTTTCTACGACACAAACATGACCAAAACTGTTAAAAAATTAAGCTTAATTATTTAATTAAGGAATGAATAAGGTCCTAATATTTCGCATATTTTCCATCGATGGCAATACCACGTGAAAAGATATCAAGGGTGTTAATCCCACACTTACTGCCCTCCAACTTCAACCTCAACTGCACATTCTGTATGTTTACATCTCTGCAACAATCTTAGTCTCTTCAAAGAACTCCACCGTGCCAGAAAATGCTCTTTCTCCAAACGCAAGTTCGCACGAAACCTCGCGAGGGACGCCATGTTGAAAATGACTACTTGTTGTTCTTAGTTCCCAGTACATCGCGCTGTATGGCCATTCGAAGATCAGGAGGAGCCGCAGGAAAAATCAGTCGTAAACAAAAACATGAAGCGTAGGGGAATGGAGCGAGGAAAGATAAATTGAGATTTCTGAAGGAAGAAATTTGGGAAAATTTACAACCCACAAAAGATTTTATTTTAAAATATTAACATTGTGTGCACACAGGTTGTGATTTAATAATTAACTTTTAATAACTTTCAGGCCATTGTCCTGTTTCAGACTTGAGGCCTTAACAGGTTGTCACTCACACTGTATGATGTTCACTGACTGCATTGGCAAAGAAAATCTGGCTGAAAAAACAAGCAAAAGGTTCAATTCTAGCCCACTCACATCTCTTATGGCACCCAAGAGTTTGCCTACAGACTACTTGCCCTGGAGCAGTAATATTGACATACATACTAGATGTTTTCAAAGTGAAGAAGTTGACTCCAAATTGAGGTTTGAGCTACTGGCCTTAAATTCCTCATTTACATGTGGTATATAGAACTACTGGCACAGATAATGACTCTAAAGGTCATTCAGAGATTGTGGATTGGAAAGGGCTCATGGAAGCTGTTTGTCAGGTTTACGCAAGCAAACTATGATCCATTACTTCTTTCCTTTCATTAAGGACCTCTATGGGCAAGAACGTCTAATGTTTTTAGAAGTTAGCCTTCTAAATGCAGTTGATTAATCAATATCATATAAGAGAGCTGATCATGATGCAAGAGAATGTTAAATGAATAAAGGGGGTAAGTTTCTAAAGAAACTGTGGTGTTGCATCAGTGGGAGAGTATAATGGGTAATTTAGTGTTAACTGAGTTGAAAACATAAATTAGCAACCATAAAGAGTAAAAAAAGCTGATGTTTTGAGTGTTAGCCCTTCGTCAGAGTGATTGACGAATCGCTCTGACGAAGGGCTAATGCTCGAAATGTCAGCTTTTTTACCCTATATGGTGGCTAATTTACATTTACAACTCAGTTGTTAACACTAAATTACCAAGAGAATGTTAGTCTCCTTTGAAGCCATCGTTTGGTCTTGTTATGCAACATGCTCTATCCCCCAAAACCACACTCCAATGCACCCCCTCCCAACCCCTTTTAAGAAGCCCACCAATCCTTTTAGGGAAGCTGTGTTACTATAGGGCTGATTTGTACATTTTAATGTCCGACATTATAATCCGAATTTTTTTAAATTCCCATTTGGTAGATACTGAAATTTAAAATTTGATTTTAGACACGGCTGACATCTGTGAAGAAACCAAAGACAAACCACCTTTCAGTATTGGACAATACTCGACTTTGCCACTTCTTTCGAAAACTTAATATACTGTCAACAGTGTAGACATATTCAAACATTGCATGAACATTCACACATTTGACTTTTAAGCCAGCACGTAAAAGTAATGATTGTCATTTTGTCACTTTGGATCTATGTTCATTCAGCATCTGGGTGCTTCGCCTTCCATTCAGCTAAATCTTGAACATACTGTTCACGAGCAAGGCGGTATTCCTCGATGTACACCTCTTTCTCCTCATCAGACAACTGTTGCCATCTCTGTCCCAGAATTTTCAGCCGTTCAACAGGTGATTCACTTTCCACCTCCCCCAGGGAGTTCAGCATAAAACGAACAAATGGACCAGGAGGTAATCTGGGTTTACCCACATTTAGAAGTTTGCGCTTTTTCTTGGCAAGAGTTCGCATTTCTTCACCACGTTTTTGTAACAGAAAGGCTCTTTCCTCGTCGGTTAAATTTTGATCGAAGGTCAAAATTTGCTTGTTGTATTCATCAACCAAGCTGTCGTATTTCTCTTTCAGTTGTTCCTTATCATCGTCAGACATGCTATTCCACTCACTAGATAATTCTCTCATAACGTCAGGAGCTGTGGACCCCGGAGACAAACCAGATGTAATTCTGGAGTAGTTCTCTTTCACAAACAAACCGAATACTCCAGGCGGTTTCTTCGGCAATTTTTCTAGAGGAGCTTTGTACAAGTTCATTTGTTTATCATGTTCTTCTTTGTAAGGGTTTTTTTCTTCTTCAGACATCTCCCTCCATCGGTCATGTAAAGCTTTAGTGATTTCTTGTTTGGGTCTGTCGGGATTTAACTTAGCAAGTTGCTCCCGATTTGCAGAAGCAAACAACTGATACGCTGTAGGAGGGCGCTTTATTTTCTCTTGAAGCTCTTTCTTTGAGGCAAATGCGTGTGTCAACACAATCCGTGGCACGCAAACTTGTCGGACTAGCAGGGATTCTTGCACTAAAGCGATAGAAGAGCGAATAAGGCTTACTCTGGCTAACATGGTGTTCATTGCACGAGGTGGAGAATGTTGCATGACCGCCAAAATGACTAGCACCCAGCAAGGGACGCTGGGATACTCAACTAGGCAGACTTACTCTCAGGGCTTCCCCGGGTCATTTGAATTCCAGAGGGGTGGCCAAATCCTTCCACAAGATGGGTAGGGTACATTTTCTCGAAAACTTGTCGTTACCGAAAAATGAAATAGGTAATTATCCTTTGGATGAGAAATTTATTTAAAGAAGGAAGGACCTCAAACAGCAAAAAAAGGTTTCAGGCTTTGGCAGGAATTGACCTATTTCCTCTCTGGTCAGGAAGAGGACAGTTTTTACTACTAAGGGTCTTTAATGGTGTTGCATGAAAAGGGACTTCACCAGCTCATCCAGACACCTTAGAATTTTAAAACAGCTTGTTGAAATCAACAGTTGACAAACCTTTCACATAAAAAGATACTTTTTACAAACAAAACATTTTAAATGATTATTTTCTTGCACAACACTCCTATACCTAGCATGAGGAAACCTCACTTCATTACAAGAAACCTGAAATTCTTAACCTTGGTTAATCGTCAGAGCATATGGATCAGATATCAGCTAGATCAATCATAGTTTACCTTAACAAAAAGTAAGCAGAAGATTCATTACATTCACAGAAGAAAACCTTCTAACACATTTTCGAGTAAGCACATATGTTGCTCTCTCCTCTATCCTGGCTTATTCTTTCTGTCTAAAAACTTTCCTCTCAGCCAATGTTGATAGAAAGGATCACTGCAATTATTAATGAAGACCTGAAAAGTGACTGAAAGGTTTCAGTCATTAAAATATGAGAATAAATTGAATTTCATTCAGCAAGTTCCATTCCTTCAACAGTCTCATCTTCATCCTCTGATTCCTGTGACCACTCAATCCCCTGGATGTGTTCAAAATCAACTAACTCTTGGACAGCAAATACTGGTCGAGAAAAAAAAAAAAAACAGACATGAGATAAGTCAACACCAATTCCACAGCCACACTGTCAGGTAATTTGCATCAAATTTAGTCTTCTATAGGACAAAGTCAATTAGAACACAATGGTTTTTGCTTTCTCCTACTCTCCTGATCTTCCCGCTGAGCATTTTACACAAACATGATGTAAATTGAGAGTTGTGAACACACAGTGAAATTAAAATCAGTTTCCAAGAATCAGAAGACCACAAAGATCTAGCAGTCTGAGGGGAAAAAACTGGCATACAACTGTATAAAAGAGCCAGAAAAAGTTTGAAGGAGTTATAGTCAGTAGGCCAGTTCATTTCACTTCAGAGATTGAGCTCTTTACCATAAATCAAAACTGGCTAATCAGACTGGTCTATTCATGTAGACAACAACCTCACTGATCAAAATTACCTTGCCATATTTATTAACTCCTAGATTGCAACTACTTCTCTGATTGAATTTTTATAAAATTCTTTAAAAGCTCCTAACAAAGCTCTAACCAGTGACATAATAGCTGGTCTAATTCCTTACTATTTGATAAGGATCACAACTGAGGCTTCATTTGCAATGAAAAGCCAAGCTAAGTTCCTGTTGATGAGTTGTACTAAAGTGATTAATATTAATAAACAGCAAGGTGAGAAGTATAGAAAATACATTCCAACTAGTTGACAAATCTTTTAGTATTACATACATTAATTAATATTTCAATCACTTTTCTGACTGTGTTTTCATTACCTTCTGCCTCTGAAATCACACCAACAATCTGCTTGTAAAGTCTGGTAACACCGCTCACAACATTAACATACTGATGTTCTACTTCAGCCCGATGCTCCACAAACATTCGATCATTGAGACATAACATGGAGAGAAGAAACACACCTTGCCTCAGTAACATTAGACTGTGGCTGAAAAAAATTATCAAACAGAATATTTTTGTACACAGCTACAAGAAAACCATGGTGGAATAAATTATAGGCTGACTGATTACATCAGGTCCCTGTCTCTCAAAAGTTCTGATAACTTTATGGGCCTGTAGCCATACTTTAAAATATAAATCTACAACACGGCAATACACAGGTCTTAGGTCAAGGGTTAAGGTTAGCACCATGGAAAGGAAAATCTTAGCCTTCTAAAGTACTCAAAGTGTGTAGCATATATTATCATATATCAATCTGTGAAGATTTTTAGATTCAAAGTTTTTAATTTCAAACACTCTCTGGTTTCAACACAAATAAATTTACCTGTTATGTGTATGGTCAGTCAGTGCCTCAGATGGAACTTGGCTGAGAGAGTTCAGTTCTTTATCCAACATCAATACAAGGCACTTGATTAGCTGAAAAATTAATTTGGTAATTCCATCAATACACCAATCAAGAAAAGCTGTAATAATATGGATAACCATGACAACTTTGGGTCTCACTCTTTGAAAGCAAGACTTATATGGAATTTGGGAGTATTTGTCACCCAGTGTTATAAATAACCCTCTCACAACAAACAGAAGGGTTCAGACATACATTGTACCTCGAACACCAAGGCTGACCAACACCCATAATACATCAGTCAGGAATATTCACTATTTATTGATTATTTATTGATTAATATGGCAAAACATGAATTGTTTGTTCATGTGACATGGTAAAGCTTTTCATTTCATCTCAAAAGCTGTTGATTCAAACCAATGCTCGTAAATTTCAGAA